AGCGCCAACTCTCCTCCCAGCCTCACCGCCCACGACTTATCCCCATGTTGAAATGATAGTAACAGCTAAGACTTGAGCATTTTTATATGCTAGTCATCACACTGACCATTTTACACTTATCGATGCATTTTAATCTTTGTAACAATCTTATGAAATAAATAACTTACTTATCCCTATTTTACAGATGGAGTAACTGACATCTAAAGAAGTTAACTCACCCAAGATCATAGAGTCAAGATGTCAAGCCAGGTGAACAGGCTTCAGATCGACCCTCTTCACCATCGTGCAGTCCTGCCTGTTCACCCTTTCTACTTCAGCAATACTGAGTTACGCTTCTGGTTCTTTATGCTCCAGCAATACTGAGTTATGTATAGTTCCTGGAACTCTGTGTTGCCAAGGCCATCGGGACTTTGTACACACCATTTCTTCTGCTCCTTGGAAAGGCCTGTCCTTCTGTCTGATAAACATTAGCCTATCTTTCAAAACCTCCCGAGGTGTTACCTTTCCTACGTGGTTCCTCTACTGGCTCCCCAAGACTAAAGTCTCTCTTGCCCATTGACCACTCCTATGGCTTATCTGCACCTTGTAAATGCTTCTCTATTGCCCTGGTTTGCAATGATTCATTTGCTTGTGTTCACTGAAGGCATGCCTATGGCTTTTAGCTTTGGGTCACAGTGCCCAGGTAGGCAATACGTAGGCCTATAGGTAGGCTTAATAAATGTGGATTTGACTAGGATTTGGGTAAAAAAGTCAAGTAGAAGTTTATTAACACCTAGAATGTCAGGGCAAGAGAGAAGACTGTTCTCCATGCTTGTCATACATTCATGACCTATTATATAATCATGACATATATTCATGAGCAAAACAAAAAGAAAAACTCACCAAACACTACAGATGTTTCTAAAGGGAAGATGCAGTGTACATAAAAAATTCAATACATCCTGACAACTACAGCAGTTAGTTTAACATCCCTGAAGGTACCTGCTGTTCATAGCAACTGCTGAGTAATGTGAATTCAGCAAAAAACAACACAAAAGAGACCAAAATAAAAACCCCCAGAACTTCTTTTATCCCATGGGTTCTCAGAATTTTTGGTTCCCAGAAAAATGCATTTGGAAACTTGCTCAAAGTGATTAACTGAGTTGCAAACTGCCCATTGGCATGGACAAGGGTTTTACTGATGTAAGTGCTACTGAGGCTTAGAGATTATCACTGAAGCCAAATGAAAACATAACAGGTTTCTGAACACAATGTTAAAAACCAAGCATCTTCTAGATTCTCAAGACTGTACTTCAGTAAAATTAAAGGCCCACCTCAAAACAGAGCGGCCACATTTAGAAATCAATTGTAGCCTTTTACTAAATAATGTGACAGAGATATATAAGTGAAAGAGAAGCTTCATCCTATTCCCCCAAAAGCTTTTAATTCAATGAGAAAAGATGCCGAAAAGACAAGCAGTGACATAAATGCAGGCCAACTAATTTCCACTCTAAGCCGTGAATGGAATATCCATAGACCTATGAAATTGAAAGTCTCTAAAACATGCAATTGCTACTTCAGTCTAAAACAACAAATTCTAGTCAAAGTCCATCCATTCAGCCTAGATTTCTGTCCCTTAAAGCAGCAGGTAAATGGCTATCCTTAGACTGCCTTGAAGAAATTAGTAAGGGAAGGAGAGAGAAGGCCAAAGCCAGTTATGAAAAAGGAACCATTTCCAATGGAATGCGTGAGCTTTACAGCAAAACATCAGACAAGTCAGTGTGCATGCACACAACTCAATGTCTTCCATGGTCAAGCAAAAAAGAACAAAGGGCATGATACACGGTCTTTGGGACACACCACAAGGCACAGAGGCTTTCAGTTCAACGGTACTGTGTCAATTCATGCACCTAGGATTGAGAGTAAGTCTGTAGGTTTTTTTTCCCAAGAACTCTAGGACTTGCAGGCACAGGCAGGGCTCTGAGTTGGAAGAGAAACCTGGAAAGTTTTTTGTGAAAGGACAAACTAGCAAACCAGCACCGTGCTGAATCGGCGAGGCAAATGGGTTGGAGCAAACCAAAAAGCTTCCACGATGACAATTTCTACCATAATAAAGGTTTAAGGTAAGAATTTGAGACCATTCAACCCCTCTTATTTAAGTGGTACAAACATCCTATCCCTATGAGCTCTAAGATGCTCATTCACAACCTCAAAGCTGAATTTCATTCTTTGACAGAATCAAGAAGCTAATATTAAAGAAAAGGTTATGACGAAGTCCTCTGGATTATATTGTTAATCAAAAAAAAAATAGCTGGGATAAAATATTCAAAATGAACAATCTGTCAGACTGGTCAGCAAGAGCGCAGGAAAGAAGCTAGGCTTGGTCCAAGAGATATTCCAAGGGCTAAGCCATGTCTCAGGGTGAAGGCAAGGTGTGTTCACCTGGACACAGGAAACACCCTCATTGAGCCTAACAAAAAGATAGGACAACTTCGAGTGAGGAAGTCCTTTGGAAGGAGAGATTTTTTAGGGATTTCGATCAGCCAGATAAGGAATGAGGTTAGACTTGGAAAAGGAAACAGGAGTAAGAGCAGTTAAGGGGCATCCCAGAAGGGGAAGTATCACAAGGTAAACATATGCTTCATGTCCTTAGGGAAGGACACAGAGCCAGAATTGATCATTGGATAATAATAGAAGGCAGCAGCCACATACACTGCCCTGGAGAGGAGGACACCTGCTCTTCATCTTTCTGAATTTACATAATAAATATAAAGCAGTGCTGGTTTTTTTTTGAGATGGACAATGACTGGAAGAATGAGGAGATGCTATTCAGGATGCTTCTTCTTCAGTAACAAACAGGCTGTGATAACCTCTACTCTTAGAAGGGAGGGGAGAAAATCCACCTTCCTCTCTGTTTTGCCAAACTGAAGTTATGAGTCCATGACTTGAGGAATGGAAACAGCCCTCCCACGCTCTCCCACTTTGCTGGGAAGAACTCAGGTTACTTTAGAACCACCCAGGCTCCATGCCATTGTGAGCTATTTGGATTGGAGCATCTGGGCTGGATAAATATTGCCCTAAAGCCAGCGTCAGACCAGCCTGAGAATTCCTCATGCATCTAGCTCTCTTCATAAACCTATCAACAGGTAGGCAGGGGCAAGAAAGGCCCCAACTGCTTTTCAGGTTCAGACATACAGGTATGATGCCAGAGCAGACTTCTCTCTCTAAGAACTGGCTCCAGATAAGAGTGGAGGCTGCGCAGTTAGGACTACACCACTCAGAAATATTTAAGTATTCCTACCAAACTGAAATGGTAAGTTTTATTATAAGATTTACCACCACGAGGAGCAGTGGCCCAGTTCATGTCTAATATGTATCCCTCTCCAACTTTGTAAGTTGTTTTGAAAGTTTGGTGCATAGGTGACACAGCTTGAACAAAAATGAGCAATACCAAAAGAGAGGGTCTGTGAACATCTTATATGGCAAAATGAGAAAAGCACAGCCAGGTTATTTAAAAGGTACAACTTCAGAATCCAGCATGGTTTAGTGGTATCAACATTGTTCAAATTGCATTAAAAAGCGAATCTAACTTTAAAATCTGTCAGATGTCTCTCTTTCACATACACATCAGGTGTACATGTGACTTATGTATATGCCTGTGTGTATATATAGCGTATGTGAGAGTATTCCAAGATACTTCTGAAATGTAAGAAATACCATTGAAATTTTCAAAGGGGCCAAGCCCGGTGGCTCACGCCTGTAATCCTACCACTTTGGGAGGCCAAGGCTAGAGGATCGCTTGAGGCCAGAAGTTCAAGACCAGTCTGAGCAACATACTGAGATCCCGTTTCTACAAAAAGATAGAAAAATTGGCTGGGCGTATAGGGCGTGTAGTCCCAGCTACTCAGGAGGCTGAGGCAAGAGGATTGCTTGAGCCCAGGAGTTGAGGTTGCAGTGAGCTCTGATGACGGCATTGCCCTCTAGGCCAAGTGACAGAGCAAGACCCTGTCTCAAAAAAAAAAAAAAATTTTTTTCAAAAGGAAAAACTACATTTATACTACAAACAGTTACAAATATAACCAAACACAAAGAAGCATTTTCTCGTGTTCTTTGAGCCTAGAGATTATGAAGCTCCAAATCTGATAGCCTGCATCCTGTTTATTTAACTGCACTGTTGCTCTCATGCATGTTCACGTGTACATGCAAGGCAAGTTTTGAAGAAAAACAAGGAATCTGTATTTACACAACTCAGAGAGTGCGCCCCTCTAAAACCACAACAATGCAACTTTTCTGTGCTGGACACAAACGTGGAGAGAGGGGAAATGCCACTTTTAAAATCACAGTCTTTCAACGCAAGTGTCTGAAAACTCACTCTGAACTGCTTTTCACTTGTGGCATGAGCTTCGTCTTGACTTCAAAATTCTTTTTTTCCTCCATCTATTCTGTCAAATATATGTTTACAAAATGAAAAGGCTGGTCCTGTATCAGTAATAAATGCCAGCAAACCAGTAAAAAATCAAAATGGCAAAGTAGTGCAGATCTGCCTCTTTAAGCAGATAACATGAAATGGGCTAACTTGGGCTATCTTTATGTCGTACTTCTACATCTTATAAAGGTCAAATATTTAATAGAGAGGAACATCTGAAAGGCTCAACAAAAAGTACCCGAAGCCCCAATATCTAGGTGAATGAAATGTATAAACATGATCAGGTCAGCGTGACAGACTTCCACAAAGTATCTCCTCCCCATTCCCTGTTTTTCTCCCCACCTCTCACAAAGAAATGTCTTATTATCTACATTTCAAAAGGGAAAAGCTCTGAGAAGCACATTCGTCAGAATTACCCAGGAAACAGCAAGGACGATGGCATACCTGAAACGGTGCCCCTCCAGGAGGGTATAAACTTTTCAAACTGTCACCCAATAAACAAAACCCCAGCTGCTCGGGGGGTTCTGGCAGCTCAGGCCCCTGGGAAGGGAAAGCCACACTCTCCCTCCAGGCAAAGGATCCCCGCGTTTTTTACCTTTGTGTTCGTCGAAGCCTGTTCCCACTCCTCAAATGAGGCAAAGTAAAGTTTGAGAGCACAGTCCAAAAATTGGGGTCAGACATATCCATTTCTTTCTCTCTTCAATTCACTGCGGGTTCAAGGCCATAGGACCAAAACGGGAAAAGAAAAAGAAAAAGAAAAAAAAAAACAAAAACAAAAAAAGATCCCAATTATCTACTCACTCCCTCCAGAGAAAACGTGATGTGAACTGTGATCTCAAGAAGTTGGAGCGTGTCTGAGAAGTACCCGTCCTGTCCTACCCTTTAATTAACACACAGCCATCTCTCAAAAGGTTCAGGAAACTTATTTCCCCTTGTGTCTGCCCTCTCCTGGTTAGCCCCGGCCAGCTACAAACAGTAATTACAAGAGTTTAGCCGTGCGTTCTGCTCAAAATGCTGTCTGTGTGTGATTCAGTCCGAGGTACTTTGTCATCTGTTTGGCAGATACCATTTGCGGCTCCTACGGGGGTGGGGAGGACGACTATTTTAAGTCTTTGGTTCCGGGAGGCTGTTGCTTATCTGCACAACCATTCACATCCGAACATGCCCAGTGCGGAGTTTCCTTTTGGTATCTACATACAAGGAAAAGAATTTGAATAGAAAAAGCTCCTCTTGCCCTCCCCTCTTGGAGGAAAAAAAAGGAAACTTAAAAGCACTTTTAGAAAATTGGCCTATTGGAGGACTTGAACCTGACACCTTTGTGCACCCTCCCGGGGTCCAGCTGGAAGGAGAAGGGCAGCAGGGCCCCTTCCCACACGGGCAGACGACAGTCCCCCGCGCCTCCCGGGCAGGCCGAGCGCAGGCTCATGGGAAAGCGAGCGGGCGCCCACCGGCAGCCCCGGAGCAGGCGCGACACCCGAGCATCCTCGCCGCCGCCGCTCCCCCCTCCCGGAGCCAGGAATGGATCGGTCCCAGTAAATAAATAAATAAATCCAGCTGCTGCCCCGGAACACGCTGAAGTGTGCACTGCGCACACCTGAAGGCTGATCGGTGATTCACCGCAGGACGGATCACAATTAAAACACTCTCAGGGAAGTCCACGATGACTCCACGCCTAGACGCTGTTTGTTGTATAGGGAAAGCACGCAAACTGGAAGCCACACTCCCCCAAAATCTCAGTAAACTAAATTTATGAGTTTACATCCATTCGATGAATTACTACAGGGCACACCTGTTTGGCTTCATGGACAGCAATGCAGATCTAGGTAATGGTCAACTACTACACGGAAAGATACTGGTTGGCATTTACTTAACAAATACTAGAAATATTTTCTCTTCAATTATGTTAGAGCTTGAAAGGAAGAAATGAAAGGAGGATGACTCAATGTTGTTATTATTCATTTTGAAGAAAAGTCTGGTATTTAAATAACTCCCCCAAAGCACAAATGCTTATGTCAAAGTATATAAAGAAAAAAATAGAATTTAAATTAGCTGCCCTAAATCCGGTATTACATGGCAAAAACATACTAAATTAAAAAAAAAATTAAGGACAATTAAACTTTAAAAAATGGCTTAGCCCATATCCAGTAAATACTGGGAACTTGCTTTAAAAAAAAAAAGAAGAGAAGAGAAGACAAGAGAAGAGAAGAGAAAGGAAAAGAAAAAAGAAAAAGAAAGAAGGAAAGAAAGAAAGAAAAAGAAAAAAGAGAAGGCGGTGATGTCAGATACAAGGGAGAAGTGTCAACAAATAGAAGTTTGCTGTGGGATCCTCTTCATTTAATTCTTGTGGCCCACAGAAATATTTTCACACCAAGCACTCTAAGAGTTTCTAAGATGATTATTCTTGTATAGAGCTTTCTTACGCATTATCTCCTCACATTGTTACTGAGCCCTCACAGGTCCTTGAAACCAGCAACCGTAAGACACAGAAGGCAACATTTTCTCAATTTTACATTTGAGAAACTGAGGCTCAGAGACATCAAGTAACAAAGGGCACTTCACCAGATACTGAGGGCATGGTCCAGTATTTTTGCTCCATACTAAGTCACAGCTTGGTTTAAAAAATGTTTTTAGGTATTAAAAAAGATTTTTGTAAAGGCTGAGAAGACAATTCTCATGCTCCAGAGCAGGGGTTCTCAACCTTGGCACTACTGACATTTCAGCCTGGATAATTCTTTGTTTGGGAAGCTCTCTTGTACATTGGAGGATGTTTAGCAGTATGCCAGACCTCTACTCACAACATGCCAGTAGTGACGATCAAAAATGTCTGCAGACATTGCCAAATGTTCCTTCCAGCACAAAATCATCCTTGGTTGAGAACCAGTGCTCTAAATATAAAGGCTCCCTCAGAGAAAGGCGGTACAGAGCACTGGTGAAGAGCAAAAATCTCGGGTTCAAATTCTAGATGCAACACTTACTATGACCTTAGGCAAGTCACATAATCTCTGTCCATTTTCCCCAACTGCAACATGGGTCCACAATAGGACCCACTTCTAAGAGGTTGAGAGACATGAATGAAAATGAGATGGCATACATAAACCCCTTCATGCAATGTCTAGTATACATGATGCAAAAATGTTGGCACCATGCAGAATCTAAAAGAATACTATGCTGAGACACATAAGACTAGAGCAGAAGGCACCCCACAATGTGCTCTCTCCTCTCTAGTGCCTGGAACATGTCTCTACCGAGATGCTGATCACACTGTATTATAACTGACTGTTGAGTGCTGTCTTCCCTATCTATAGCCTGGAGTTCCTCCAGGCTAAAGCCACGTTTTATTGATTGCTGTATTTCCAGAACCTGACAACTCCTGGTTTATACAGACATTTAAAAATCCTTTTTGAACGGACACTTCAGATGTCAAGGTATCTGTTATTTGTCTTAAGATACACTAAAATGATCAGTATTAGCAGATCAATTGATTTTCTCAAAGAATACTGAATTTTTAAGAATCCTATGAAGATGTTAAACTCTAAAGACTGTCTCTTACTGACTTGTTTTTATCTTATATCTGTATACTAGTGCTAACATTCCTCAGGTATTAACATGGCTATAAGAAATGTCACAACCAAACCCAAGGAAAACTCTCCTCCTCAAAGGCAAGCCCAGGAAGTAGCTTTTTGTGCTCTCTTTTAGGTATCCAAAAGAGGGATAATTGCATAGTACAGGTTGCCCAGAGAAGAGTAATCAAGATGGTGAGAGGGGACCTCAAAGTTGGCTATACAGATTATGGGTTGAAGGAACTGTGTGTTGAAAGTGGAAAAAAGAAAATTCAGGGAATAAGCAATAGCTGCCCTTGAATATATTAACAGAAAGAACTATATGGAAAAGGGTTTGGATCCAAAGAGGTAAAAGGCTGAGAGGGTGGACGTCCTCTGGGAGTGTTTGAGCAGAGATAATCTGAAGGAGATACAGTGAGTGGCACTCAAGCTCTGGAAGGTTTTAAGATCTCATGAGATCTCCACCTCCCAACTCTCATTCTCTCTCGTCCTACTAGAAAAGCCCACATATTTGGGCATCACCTATAATGATGATAGCAACTAAAATCAATAAATAAATGACATAAATCATTTATTTCTTCTCTTGGTTGATGGATATCCTGGTCTGTGGGCCCCAGATGTCATTACTACCTTCACACTCTGCATTTTGAGAAATCCATTACACAAATTCTCAAAGGGATGGGTAAAAAGACATGAGCATTTTAAACTACATATGCTTTCATATGTTTTTGGCATTGAAAAGGCTTGGGAGGATTTGGGTTGTAGCCAAACTGAAAAAATAAAAATAGGTAAAGTATACAAGGAGCCAGAAATGAATTAGTTAATATAGTGAAAGTGGCTGATAGGTTCCCACACTCATTTAAGATAAGAGTAGGTGTGGCACTGAATTGTGACTTGTCTTCTAACCTGCTTGACTTGATTTGGGAACCTGTGATTCAGAAGGCAGTCAGTAAACACAAGAATTAAAACTGTCAGAACTACTGACATTTTCCTACAGACAAAATAATTATGTGGGCAGAAACTACAGTTCACTTGCAACTGCAGTAAAACTCTTGACTGCAGAATTTAGGGAATTGAGATTATTGGAAATTCTTAAGACTATAGCTGGTCTAGGTCAATATATAGATATTCAGCAAGATTTTCTACTTAGCCCATAACAACTAAGCCTACACAACAATAAACAAGCTTTGTGATGTACGATGCCCATTCATTTAATCAGGATGATATTATTGACCATTAAGCTAAGTGAAAATGAGTAAGCTTGTCATCTTAATGAAATACTAGCTTAGAAAGAAATGAATATTAAAAATGGTCAAATCCTTCATATTCACTCCCCTCCTGCATACAAAAAATGCCAGGTCCTTTTTACTGACTTGAATTCTGTCTAGATCCAACCCACTGCCCCATGCCCTTTGAGAAGGGTTTTTGCCCACTCCACACAGAACAATGTCAAAAGATTATATCTCTGGAGCCTTGTCTTGAAGTCATACTATGAAGTTGGACTAAGTTTTCCAGTGTGAATGTGAGGTCTGGGAAGCTGTCAGCTCCCTGCTCAGACACTCTGGCCACCAGGTGACACTGAGGAAAGTGGGGTTGACAGAGAGATTCCACGTGTTCTACTTGATCCTGGCCTAGTTCAGGGATTTTGCTGTAAACCTTGCCCTTTTCCCATCCTCATTTTCAGAGCACCTAGAAGTGACTACTTCCCAAGGCTCTCCACACCTTCAGGTCCACTTCGGTCACCTTCTAAATGCTGTCTTGAGAGTATGAGGGTAGGCGTGTGAGTAGCAAATGGCCTGTCCTGAATGAGCAAACCTTGTCATCACTCTGTATCCTCCAATACATAAAGCTTAAAGACTGAGACAGATATGTGAAGAAAGTTGCATCAGCAAGGAGCACATTGAGAGAAAGCTCTTTTAGCGTTATTAAATGAATTTGTGCTTAAACAGTGCTAAAATATGGAGGAAGATAAAAAGATAAATGAACATTAACTTATATACCTGAATGCTGAAAATCAGAAACAGATAATAAGGAGGGTTACATCATTCTGGGAATATTACACAAAAAATTTTTCTAACATTATCACAAGGTTAAGAGAGACTCACATTTTTAAAGTGAATGGATAAGGAAACAAATAAGAACT